AAAATCAACTCCTGAAGCTTTCATATATTCCATAGTATGCTGCAATATTGACTGTTACCTAGATTAGAAAGTACAAGAAAAGGAGGCTTGTTCTTAGTTTATTGTGCCCCTTTTCTATGTAAATCAAAAAGCTAGACCCATTCTTCGAAAATCTTCCTATGTGCCTGAAAAATGCTTTTCTGTTGTTTGCATCAGAGTATCCCCAGACCAACTCTAGCACCTGCTGGTTTATGACTTGGTTCTGTTCTGCTCATAGAATTTCTTAAAGCTCCTAATATGAGAGTCTGTGTCTGTGGGTTTTATCCTGCACAGTAAAATTCTCTTTCTTATTTTATTTGGTAAATTCTGATTCTTGTCTTCTTAGAGAAAAGTGCATTACATGTCTTCCAGGTAATTCTGTTTAGTCATTCCTATATTTCTAGAAAGCATCGGTAAATCCTATATTCAGAATCTAATTTACTGCGCAGTGCTCTTTAATAGACCATTATGCCTCTGTAGCATGGAAGTACTATCATAAAATATTTTCTAAGTAAAAGTGAGTCTGTTTAGAAATTTTCCTTTTCTTCATGATGACTCCAAATAACTTCAATTTAGAAACAAGGTAAATACATTAAGTGCCAAGTTGCCTGTGAAAAATGATTTATCAAAACAGCATTTAGTGAACTTGTATATACATTGACTTGGGAGCCCAGCATACATTTTTCACATTAACATTATACTGTAATGGTTTAATATACCAGAACAGTTAAAATTAGCACATTAGTAGGATTCTTTCTTCTGCAACAGCTTATCAGAGTATTACAGAGCACCACAGTGCATGACTTGCTTGCACACATTTATTAAGGTGCTGTAGAAAAATAATACCATTAAAACCTGAATAGCCTTGAAAACTAAGCAGTGAAGGTAGTGATTTGTTTGAAATTCCAGTGAAACTGAGTTAATGAACTTGTGTTGATATGTACAGTCATGCTTGTCTCCTACCCCATTCACACACAGTGGCCATGGGACCCCTCATGGTATCTGAGGCAAATTACTTCTTGTTACAGCCAAAAAGAGTGGAAAAGGAAATTGCATCTCTGGGGATTATCTCTGGGGATTCCATTTTGATCCTGACTTCTTGTCTGCCTGTGTTACCAGGCTGTCTTAATGTGCTTTGAGAGTATATTGAGAAAAGAGCACATCTCAGGTGGTTTGTTTTCTTTCTTTTCCCATACACAAAATGAGACTAGTTGCACTGGGGCTAAAATACATATGGCCAGTTACATGTTGCCATACATTTGTTTGAAGCAGCACAGGTTGGGAATGTAAAAGAATGAGGTTTTATGATAGCCCTGTGCAACGTTTGAGGTGGCATCTCTCACCGACGATCGCTTTGCTGTTGGCTATGCGTTGTTGATAGAAAATAGCATAGAGCTGGCATGCAAGCAAGTTTCTGATTATGGTAATTTCCAGTATATCCTCACTTTTCCTAGAAAAGGAACTATATGGAGTGGGAAAGTAAAGCTTTGCCACCTTTCCTTCAGTTAATTAATAGCTTTTGCCATAGATTATCTCAATATAATGAATAAGAGTGCAAAGTCCTATTCTACCTGTGAAGATGAGATTGTTTTGATGAAAGAATTTACATATACCCCCCAAACTCAAGAGAAGATATGTTGTTTTGTGCTGTATATAGGGAAAGACTATGTAGTCCCCTGCTATTTCACGTATACACTTGACCATTGTTCTTTGAAGTTGCTTGATTTATAAATGAATATTTCATCTTCCTACCTAGTGTTGTTATATTGGGAAACAAGATTTGTGTACAATTTTGCCTTGCCCATTATTAAATGTTTCAGTTTTGGGCCCGCATCTTCTGAGAGCAGTTGTGGAAAAGCAAATGAAACCTGAGGGGAAAGTGAGGAACTTGAGCTGAGCAAGGATTTGAATAGTAGAAAAATAATCTATATGCAAGAGTATTGTCATTGAGTTTTCATATTAATTAGAATACATTGGTTTGGACATTTTCAGAGTTTTCAACTAGACTAGTTTTTCAACAGCTGAGCAGACATATTGATTCTGGTCGTTAAGAGAAATTTCAAATTAAATAGGAGTGTTTTCTTCCATGTTTTGCACAGCTGTCTCCGTGCTGATCTCATGTTGATCTGAGCAAATCCATTTGATCTCCATTAAACTGAAATACTATCGTAAGCTAACTGGGAGCTAACAATAGAGGAGAATTTGTCTGGGTTTTTTCCTTCCCCACTTCCTCCTCCTTCCACCCAATCTGATTTGAGGCTGAAAGACTGAAAGGAACAAGAACATATTACACTTGGAACTTCATTTCCTCATGACTGGGAATATTGGCTGTTTGTTATGACTTTTAGAAATGGAATCAGTGACAAGAAGAAACTGCCAAAGGGATGTTCTCAGAAATGAGCTCTATTAAAAGTTCAGCGGGAAATGAATACAGTGTCTCAGACTTTTATATTTGATGACCGAAACTTAAATAATAAATGCCATAAAATAATAAGAAACCATCATTTGCATCAAGAACATTAAAAAAAAAAAAAAAGGAACAAACTGAGCAGCAACTAGAAATTGATGTTCACACTGTTACTTGGCTTTGCTTGATTGGCTTCTTTGTCAAGAATGTCCTACTTACCTGTTTGGGCCACTCTTCATGAGGCATCCTTTTTGTGCATGCTAAACAGAGAACAGGGTGTTCTTCCCTTTTGGATATGTAGAACAAATTAAGTTGGCTTTGTCCAATGTGAACAGCTCTGTAGTACTGAGAATATGAATAATGTTAGTTTCTGTAATTGCTAACATCTGGCTTTCCATAAATCTGTTAAATTACATGAAAGCAGAATTAGATTTCTGCGTCATAAGTAGAGCAATTACATAGAACTCTGTAGGCAATATGGCTTTGTATTCATCTGTGAAATCCTTTTTAGTTTTGAAATGTGAAAGCTACCCTTCTAATGTGCACTGTGATCCTACTACATCCTATGTGTGTATATATATATATACATACATACATATATATATATACACACTCTGTTCAAGCAGCATTTAATATGGTGGGAATGATGATGCTTGTAGAAATCACCAAAGTGAATGCTTCATTTATACTTTTGTCTTCAATGTAAAATACTATTCAAAGTTTATTGAAAGGAAAATGGGATATTTTAAAGAATATTTCAAGCCTTTCAGTAGCTGTTTGCATATAATTAATTTCATACCAGTTCATTCATAGCTCTCTTCATTTCACTCTTCATGGTTTTTACCTCCTGTGATACTCTGGCACTTGTTAAACAATGAGCTGCAAGTTTTAATTTCTGCTAGTGTAGCACCTTTTACACCACAGATAGTGGACCTTTCAAATACTCGGTAGTGCTAAGCCAGGCATTAGAGTAGCAATGATCTTTTTTGGCAATTAAGACTGTCAGGGCAGCAAAGTACACCATTTTCAAGGAAGTCTGAGAGAAGAAGCAATTGAATGATGCTGTCAGGCCACTGGCAACATTAAGGCAAAGGACTGGCCCTTTGGTTAGCTCAGGAGTGAAGCTCTGTGGAGGCTGAGTTTTTATCCTATCAAATGCAAGGGCACTACCATATTGCCACTTGTTCCTTGACTATTTACAAATTGAAATCAGGGATTCTGCTAAAAAGGTCAGAGGTAATTTTGTGGTTTGATTGTTGTAGAGAGTTTCCTTCAGCAGATGGAGTGAACTGTTAATGTCTTTTTTAAGTTCTGGCTTTCTGAGGAGATGACTCATGAGCTCACAGCACTTACTTACCCAAAAAAGTAGGGCAACTGATCATCACATCCCACCTAAATTGGACTTGAGGACATTTTTCTTTGTAAATTCTATTGAATTTTTAAATTTGCTTTTTTAGAGAGGAATTATAAGTATTTCTGGATATTATTGACCATTTATAAATTTCACACTAGCAATAAATTCATTTTAAATGGTAAGTGTGGTGGCTTTTCCTTGTAATTTCTGAATTCATAGAATAGAATTCTGCAATTTTCATGGTAGAAACCATCACCTACTTCTAAAAGATTTTCCTCTTCAGCCTTCCTGCTGCTATTGGTACAGTTTTAACTGTTGGTGTTGGAACAAAAGACACCCACCAGTTTACTGGGCAATCTGTCAATATATTGTTCACGAACTGTTCAAAGTTATTTTCTGAAATAAACACCTGATTTTAACAATGTGCTTAACAATCGCATGCCTTTCACTGCTAGAAAAAGAGCGCTGCCTTAGCTCCCTAGGTAAATTCACATTGAATAATTATATTTTACCCTCCAAAAGAAGTTTTAATGGGTACTGTAATTCACTTTTCTCTAGTGTATAATGATATTCTTTTCTTACTTCTTTATGTCATTGCTAAATCATACTTTTCCTGGTTTGCTTTGTTCTAAGACCTTTTCCTGTATAAGATGCCTCTGTTTTATTTCCTTTTTTTTTTATTTTTGTTTATTTATTAATGTATTTTTTTAATTCACATACCTTCCAGCAAGGAGAAAAGGATGCAATTGACTGCTTTTAGTATGGGAAATGTTAATCATGCTAGGAATTTATGAAGAATAGAATAGTGCACTTGTATTTTGATGTGAAATCCAGAACAGAGAGAGTTCTAGTTGACAGAAAGTCACTCTGATTGTTCTTTAGTTTCTAGTCACTGGGAAATCATTGTACACCCTTGTCTGAAGGTTCAAATTCATCTTTGATACGCGGTTCCACTGGGTACGTCAGACTCAGCATTTAAAGTTAAGCTGCTGGAGACAGGTTAAGAATTCTTGGTGGAATCAAAACAAACACTGACAAATAAACTTAAAAACCACCCAAACAAACCCAGTGTTTAATGTCGAGCAAGTAAATATGGAAGGAATGAGAAGGAAGGCACCGTCTTCCAGCAGCAAGGCAGATGAGCTGTAATTACTTAATATGGAAATGAAATCTGCCCTTTGAAAAACATGCCCAAAGCACTGTAAATGTGCTGTTTTGCAGATATCGATGAGTGTGCCTTAAAGACCCACACATGCTGGAACGACTCGGCCTGTGTGAACCTGGCAGGAGGCTTTGATTGCCTTTGTCCGACCGGACCATCCTGCACTGGAGACTGTCCCCATGAAGGCGGCTTCAAGCGGAATGGGCAAGTGTGGACGCTGCGGGAGGACAGATGCTCCGTTTGCTCCTGCAAGGTGAGATCCAGATGGTCTAGGGTTCAGGAAGCCTTTAATTCTCTGTGCTCCTGTCAGAAACCCAATAGTGCAGCGCTAATGGTGTTGGCAAAACACTAGCCTAAAGCCAAGGCACTGAGGGAAATGGTGAGCTCTGCTGTGGCACTGGTGCAATTCTCCTGGGAAGTCATCTTTTATTTTGCACAACCACAGACCCATCTGAATAATGGCTAACCCTGCTGAGCTTCTACCATGGCACTCAGTGGGCCATGTCTTGATGAGGCTCTTGCATTACCCTTTAGCATGACGTGCAGGTGATCAGCATGCTTACTGGAGATGTTGGAAACTGTTTTCAGTTTCTCTTTCACATGAGCATGCATCTCTCAGGACAAGCCATCTTCCTGTTGGTGGTGTTTTCCTTTACTTGGAGTGCATGTGAATTAACTGGGTGAGAAGCAGGGCCTGAGTATGAGCCAAAGCTTAGAGGACCTAGCAGCAGGCACTTAATTTTCTGAAGGGAAGAAGGGTGAAGGCAGCTTCCTCCTCTTCATCCCAGCTTGGCTCTCCCACTTCATCAGTGCAGCTCTCTGCATTTTTGGAGAAGTCAGGCATAGTATGTGTAGATCTACCTTAGAGTTAACGCTGAGATCAGGTTTCTTGTTTTTCCCACTGGAAATTACCAGGCTTTTTCTGAATAACAAAGTTAAAAGAACATTTGTCTCTGCTTTCCTCATTCTCACTAGTTAAAAGAGCAATGGTCTCATTGAAATTAGAAGGATTTTAGGAATGTACCGATCTGAGAAGTAGTTGGTCATTTATGACCACTTTGATCTAGCACATTCATAGCACTGGTAAAGCTGTCCTTAGCCACAGCAGAGCTCTACTGGCCTGTTCATAAGTGTAAATAAAATGAGATTTTGGCCACTGTGAGAAGCTGAACACAGAGCATGAGAACTGGCTTATCAGTCACTATGTCTACATGCTGATGAGCCACAGAAGCGTTAGAGAGTTTGAGGGGAACAAGGGAGACGAGTTGTTTTGAAGGTGCGAGAAACTGAAGGCTTTATCATTTCTGTATTGCAATAGTATGTCAGAAGGGAAAGTTAAGACTTTAGGGTGGATAGAACCTGAAAGTACACTGGGCTCCAAAGGGAACATGTTCTTGTTAGTTATTATATTTTTTACTTCAAGTAGCCTCCAGATCCTAAAATTCCTCCCTTCAGAAGCTGAAGTCATAGAATCATTGTCTCCCAGACTTCCATCCCTTTGGGCTGGAAGGGGCCTTAAAGCTCATCCAGTTCCAAGCCCCTGTCATGGGCAGGGACACCTTCCACTAGACCAGGTTGCTCCAAGCCCCATCCAACCTGTCCTTGAGCACTGCCAGGGATGGGGCAGCCACAGCTTCTCTGGGCAACCTGTGCCAGTGCCTCAGCACCCTCACAGGGAAGAACTTCTGCCTAAGATCTCATCTCAGTCTCCCCTCTGTCAAGTTAAAGCCTTATCCTGTCCCTGCTGGCCGTTGTCCAAAGCCCCCTCCAGCTTTCTTGTTGACCCCTTTAGGCACTGGAAGCTGCTCTAAGGTGTCCCTGGAGCCTTCTCTGCTCCAGGCTCTCTCAGCATGTCCTCCAGCCCTGATCATTCATTATACTTCTGACTCAAAATTTTAAATGATTCTACTCACTTGTTTTATCTAGGAGACAAACCAACATTTTAGATTTAACATGATGTGTTTTCTTTTGTCTCTTCTTTTGGTATGGTTATTTTTGGAGAAGTCAGATAGATATATTTTGGGCATTGGCTGAAACGTATAGATCCCATCTTGAAAATGTTTTAACTTGGACTCTGGTGCAAAGATAATTAAATACCTTACTTAACTGTGAAGTTCATTAAAGTTATTTGTGGAGTAGTATACCATGGAATGTGGTAAATTTTATAATGAAGCAGTTTCATTGCTGAACAGGAGATTATTTCAGTTTATATCAGACCCAGTCTCTTCAAACCATCCTTGTTCATCTGAGTGATTATGAATATTACAAAACCATAAGTTCTAAAAACTATGAATTAATATTGTACCTTAAATATATTTGATGTCTCTTCTACAGGCATCTGCCTGAACTCCTGTAGATTCAATACACAGTCAAATTTAAGATTCATAAAAATTGAGCCTGGGGAAAAGCAGACAGCTGGGAATGGGAAGATGTGCCAAGGAGATGTATATTCCCAAGGGCAAGAAGAGTTTGGGGATTTGGTTTCTACAGGGTCTGATTTCTGTCTGGACTGGCCTTGAGGCTCCATAGAAATTCTAGTCACATTTTACAGCAATTGCCTGTGTGTCAGTTTTTCCTTTGGTAAGAATAATTTTGTGATCATGCCGCTGATGCTTATGACACATGTAGAACTGATTCAGTGAGGAAGGTGGGGAAAGAGAGGTGCTAGTAAGATGCTTCATGTTATTACCCACCAAAAGAAAGTTGCTTTCTATATATTTCTCAATTTTCTCTATATTTCTCAATGCTACTATGGAGCTGCAAAGATGAGACATAGCTTAAGAGTCTTTGTGTCAGTGTGGTATAGAGATAAAAATGTTTTTTAAAGGCATGGAACTAATGGGGTTGTAGATAAAACACAGATGCTTAAAGAATAAAGAGAGTAGCAGTGTATTATGATTACCAAAAGGTTTCTGGCAAAATCACTGGGCTTTGTCAGTGTTCTGAAATACAGAGAGTAAAGGCAACATAAAAGGTTAGCTGCTCCCAGGAGGTAAGGGCACAGGAGCTCAGAGAAGCACAGAACTACCAATGCTGTCACCAGCTGAAAGGGGAATTTGAAAACTCTGAAAGCTTGGAAACAGAATTGGAGCAAAGCACACAGGTTGTTGTTAGCTGTTGTTAATCAGCACTCCATTGTGGAGACAAGAGGGACTGCCATTGTTGAGGGCACAGGGTTGCCTAGATGCCTGGCACAGCCCCACACGCCTGGAGCTGGTTATCCTGGCAGCAAGGCTGCGTGCTGAGCTTCTGTTTGATGCCCACCCTCAGGACAGGGTGAAGATGCTTGCGCTTTCCCACCTTCAGGAATGGAGGTTTAGTCATCACTCTCTATCAGGGAAAGCTTTGGGCTCTCTTCTTTGGCCACTTGCTGAAAGGGGAGGGTGATTCTTTCCTTGGCTTTTGTGGGAAGGTTTATTCACAGCATTGCATCTGGACCTGTGTTTGGTGAAACAGGCCACTTCTGGTTTTCCTTATGGTTCACTCATGCTGCTGAGCAAGAAATTAAAGCTGGTTTATTCCTTTGCTAAAGTAGCTAACTAGCCACAAGTACAGAATCCTTAGATATCTTAATTTGATACAGAACAGAAAAAAGACTATAGGGCAACCTAGTCCTATGCTCTGTGGTTGGCAAAACAGTTCAGATCCATGTTAACCCCGCATGTTTTCTACATTTCCATAATTCTGTGTTCTCTTCAGCTTTCCCTGCTATAAGAAGCAAGAAATTATAAAAATAACTTTATTTATTCTTACAACAGAAATTAATATTCTAATCAATTCAAAACTATGAGTAAATGCAGCAGTGGCACTGACTGACATGGGTGTTGTGATTCCCTGTTGCTGGTTTTATATATGTTGCATTGTGACGAAGACTGACTTTCCTGAAATCCAAGAGCCAAATGCAGATTCCTACATGAAACCATAACCAAAACAGTCACACCTGCTGCATGCTGTGGTTATGATTATTTTATCTGCCTGTGGAAAAGACATCCTGGGCTGCTGTCACTCTTTTTAGTAATCACTTTTTGAAAGGAACAGGGGAAGTAAATTCCCCTTTAATAGATACCTCTTTATTTCGTGGAATGGAAAACTTTTTTCCTTCTTAGTTCAGATTCAGGACAAGGTTTGGATGAGAATGTGGAAAAACTGCAATGTTGTGAAGTTGCTTTAGGAATTGTACAGTTGGGATCCAGAGCAGAATATAGCTTCATTTCTTTTACAGCTCTCCCTTCCAATTGGCTGCAGGGGATGCTTTGCTTGAGTAAGGACTAATCCAGTACCAAGCACTGAATGCAAAAGAAGCTCATGTCACAACTGTTCAGTAATCTCCTAACGAAGTGTGATTTCAGTTCCCAGCCTATGTGTGGCACTTTAGTCTGTTGGCTCACTTACAGTAAGAGGTGTAATTTCAAACACAATAGTCCATCCAATTTTCATAACTAGAATTAGAATCAATTTGTTTTTCTGTGATGCAAAGAAAATATATCATTTTCTCTTTATGTGCTGTCGTGGTTTAAACCCAGTCAGGTAACTCGTTCGCTCACTTCCAGTGAGTGGTGCCGAGCTGACAACAATCAAGGTCCGTGTCCGTCTCCCCCACCCGCACCGGGGCTCTCCCCTTCCCCGCTCCCGGAGGAACGGGGAGGAGGATCGAGAGAGTGCAACTCCTACGGGTTGAGACAAGAACAGTCCAGCAACAAATCACCACCGCTACTATCAGCTAAAACAGTGATAAGGGAAAATAACAAGGGAAGAGAATACGATACCACCGGCCAAGAAAACGAGTTCCACCCGGAAGCCCATGTCCTTCCGGGTAACTCCCAGTTACCCCCCACCCCGGGCATGACGTGCTGTGGTATGGAATACCTCCCCGGCTAGCCCGGGTCAGGCGCCCCGTCTCTGCTTCCTCACAGCCTCCCCTCCTCCCTGGCAGAGCATGAGCCTCACAGAGTCCTTGGTCAGGGTAAACATCACTTAGCAACAACCGACAACATCGGCTTCACCAACACTGTTCTCAAACTAGAAGTCAAAACACAGCACTGCACCAGTTAACACAAAGGAAAAAACATGACTGCTACTGCTGAACCCAGGACAATTCTTCTGTTTTTCTCAAACAGTTCCATTTAATGGTCTTTAACCAAATGGGCCATCCAATACCGTAAGCAAATATTTAGCAAAATCGTATTTTGGAGAGCCTGTGGAATACAGGCCTTTTTTAATACATGAACTGAATTGTATGGATGATAAGACTATTTAGCTTTAAGCTGGTATAGTGTAGATCCAGATTTAGAGCAGAACCAGTGGTAAATTCAGAGCAATGAAGGGCAGGGGGGTTGGAACTAGATGATCTTAAGGTCCTTTCCAACTGTCGTGGTTTAAACCCAGTCAGGTAACTTGTTCACTCACTCCCAGTGAGTGGGGCTGAGCTGACAACAATCGAGGTCCGTGTCCCCCCCCCCCACCGGGGCTCTCCCCTTCCCCGCTCCCGAAGGAACGGGAAGGAGGATCGAGAGAGTGCAACTCCTACGGGTTGAGACAAGAACAGTCCAGCAACCAACGTACAACACAAATCACCACTGTTACTATCAACTACAACAATGATAAGGGAAAATAACAAGGGAAGAGAATACGATACCACTGGCCAAGAAACGAGTCCCACCCGGAAGCCCGTGTCCTTCCGGGTAACTCCCAGTCACCCCCCACCCCGGGCATGACATGCTGTGGTATGGAATACCTCCCTGGCTAGCCCGGGTCAGGCGCCCCATCTCTGCTTCCTCCCTGGCAGAGCATGAGCCTCACAAAGTCCTTGGTCAGGGTAAACATCACTTAGCAACAACTGAAAACATCGGCTTCACCAACACTGTTCTCAGGCTGGAAGTCAAAACACAGCACTGCACCAGCTACCACAAAGGAAAAAACATGACTGCTGCTGCTGAACCCAGGACACCAACCCTAACTATTCTATAATTCTATGATTAATGCTACTGTGATTTTGCTATACTGTGCTCCTGTGAAGGTAAAGGGACCACTTTCAGGACTTGAGTAATTAAGTTATTTTCTTCACACTGATACTTTCAGTCAAAATGCTGCTAAACAAATACTATATGTATTAAGAGTGGCAACTATTTTAAGAGTTCATAGATGTAAATCGTTTCACTGTATTTCTTCTGAGATACTGTTTTCTTTTAAATTCATTAGCTGGAGACAGGAACACAGTATTCTCAGACAGGGGTGGATCCAGTAGACACTGGAACAATACTGGTATCTGAGGTATTACTCATAATTGGCAGGATCCACCATTAGTGGTGGCAACATCAAATACATTAAGAACTTAGTGTCTCTCGATGCACATATCTGTACCTTACCCAGTTTGCTGCTTGGCCCTTTGATGCACATACATGTACTGTACCCAGCTTGCTGTCTGCAGTGTGTGGCTGACCTCAGGGCAATGTGTCCTTGCAGGACGGGAGGATTTTCTGCCGGCGGACAGCCTGTGACTGCAGGAACCCCAGCGCTGATCTCTTCTGCTGCCCAGAGTGTGACACCCGCGTCACCAGCCAGTGCCTCGACCAGACGGGGCACAAGCTCTACCGCAGTGGGGACAACTGGACCTACAGCTGCCAGCAGTGCCGATGCCTGGTACGAGCGAAGCATTTCCAAAGGGGGCAACAGTAACAGAGGTTATGATGTTTAGTGAAGCGAACCTGGAAGCAGGTTCAGGGGTCCTCTTCACCTGCTTTTAAGACTGGGAATGATGATGATGCACTTCGAGAGAAATGAAAGCTGAACAATCAGTTTTCCTTCTACTGCTGAATAAGTAGCTCTAATGACCAAAATACAAGCTTGACAAAAGGTTGGACACCCTGACACTGTATTAAAGCATTAGTCTGCTTTTGAGAGCTTCTATAAGGGTGTCTGATCTTCAAATGGCTTTTAAAATATTTTTTTTCCACACGTGATGGATTTGGCTGGAGGAGTTTCAGTTTGAATTGCATCAGCTGGTGACAGCAAAATGCACAGTGCAGTTCTTTTTTGTATCAGCAAATGTTGGAAGAATGGAGTGCCAACCAGTACCATGTGATGAATTAGCAAAAATTAACCAAATGTAGAAGGGTAAAGAAAACTGGAATTCCTAGACAAACATGCAAAATAAAGAACATCTATTTTCTCATTAGGCGCTGGAGATTATTTCCGTAAAGCTTGAAGTTTTGCACAGATATACTAATTAGTGCAGCAGTGAACTTCATTAAAATTATCAAGTTTTCCATTTATATCTGTCTATATAACATAATCTTTATATATGATATTAATCAAGAGGTGTCTGAGCATCAGGAAACAAATTACTTTCAAAGCTAAGTTACTGTGAAGAGATAATTATCTGTGATGTACAGCAGTAAGCGTTGTATTCACCTAAGATTTTTATTTATGTTTGCAGAACAGCGAAGAAACATTTGCAGCCAGCAGCAATGGCAAATACTCAATTGACATGGGATACTGAGTTTGTGGCTAGCAGTTCTTTGCTTCATTTTATGATTGGGTTAACATACAGAACTAAAAGACAACAATGCCCTAAATGCCCTTACCTACATGTAAGGTTCTGTATGTGATCTTACCAGTAGCTGACGTGCTTTATGAAGCACTTGCTGATGCACTGAATGCATCTGAAGCATAATGCAAGTTATTACAGGCCTTTGCAGGTTAATTTTAGACAGAGCAATTCTCCACACAAGTGACCTGATGACTGTCTCTTCTCCAGGTTTCTACCTACTAAACAGTTTGGGTTGATTGTTTTTTTACAAAGCTAAATAATAACATACTCAGTGGAACAGAACTGGTATGGCTTTAACTATTCCTTTAGGAGTTGACAGTAAAATCAATTTCAGCTGTTGCTAGTTAGATGGATGTTTAGTGCTTCTCAAATGTACCAACCTCCATCTATCTACAGTGCCACTTTTGTGTTTAAACAGTTGCTGTGATCCTGCAGAGATGCTCATGTGGCCAGGGTTAGAGAGAGTGCATGAGTCCACAAGGCAATCACTGCAAAAATTATAGTTTACAGGCAATATTGGAACCCAGTATTTAATGCTGCCTTTAAAAACTCCAAAGAACTCAGTTTTTCCTGCTACATTGAAGATGGTGGTGATGTTTAGTTTAGACCACTCAAATGATGGTCACTACACTTCGGAAACTCCAGCTCAGTATTCAAACAGGCATTTCTCTGATCTACCAAACTGAGAGCTGATACATTAAGTTTATTCCAGTTTCAGGAAAATAAAACTTTTCTGTTAAATGGAATGCAAAAATTTGTGGTTGCTAACAAATGGCAACAACCTGAATGAGCTTTGCTTCGATTTTTACAGGAAGGAGAGGTGGATTGTTGGCCTCTCCTGTGCCCAAAGCTCAACTGCGAATACACAGCCATCTCAGAAGGAGAGTGCTGTCCCCACTGCGTCAGTGACCCCTGTCTGGCTGACAACATCACCTACGACATCAGGAAAACCTGTCTGGATGACTATGGGATCACAAGGCTTAGTGGTGCTGTATGGACAATGGTGGGATCTCCTTGTACGACCTGCAAATGCAAGGTATGATGGGCAAAGTAGAAAGGGAATGGAAATGTATGTTGCTGTGTCAAATCAGGGTCACTTTCTGCCGTTGGAAGTTCCCGTTCAGCTCTCAGGGAAGTAAATGAGAAACGAGGGCAGAAGCCTACTGAAAACTCCACACCTTTAGTGTTGTGCAGGGTGGAAACAAAACAGTTCTGTGCTTGTTGGAAACACTGAGCGCTGATGTGTAATATCCTAGTGCAGCTTCCAGACATTCTGTTGGAGAGCCCTTTAGGCATTCCCAGTGTCAAGCTAGGTGAATATTTTAATACCTACCTAATGTGGATGTTTATGACAATGTGTATTACAGAGTGGGTGAGCAGAGGCAAAAGCACTAACTAATGTTTCCCCAGGAAGGACACAAGTAGAATCACGTTGCAGCTCAGAGATGGAGGCTCTCCCCCAGCAGCAGTGGGAAGGGGATGTCATAGTTTCTGCTCCCTGATCTCATGCAGGTGTATTTAATCCCATGACTAGTGCAGAAGTGCAGGTTGCCTCCCTTGCTCCCTGCAGTGATGACCCTACTGTGCTAATATCAGAATGATTAAAATTTTGGTTTGGGTTATCTAAAATGTTCTTGTGATCCCTGTGGGAAATCAAGCTGTTTCTTCAGGGCTTTAAATTAATTGAAGGCAGCTTTTCTGCAATTCATCTGTGTTCTTCCTATTGGTTTCTGTTGGATTTAAGAAAAAGAAAAGAAAAAAGAAAAACATTTGCCCATTTGGGTCTTGCTGCTTGATGGAGTGTTTTTCTTATTATACAAGATAGTTTTGTAAATTACTAGATGTTGCAGAAAGATATTTAACAGTGGATTAAACTCCAAAGCTGTATGGTGTTTTTCCCTCTGTACATATCTGCCATAAATGAAGAACTGAACGATCTGCTTATTTCAGACAAGCAGAGAGCTTCCCATGGATTGTGTGAAAACTCTCTCTCTCCATTAACATTCTTACATGGGAGAAAAATCCAATCATCTCTTGCCTTTGTGGTGCTGTATTTTATTATGGAGACCAGTGAGTCTTTCACACCCAGGTTTCTAGTTCATGTGTAGTTCAGACCAGTTCAGTGCTATTTAGAAAAGTCAGCCTCCTCCAAAAGCCACCCCTGTTGGAACCAATGAGGAAAACCTTGGGATATTGGCTTCAGTGGTGGATGTGTCCAAGATGTATCTATCCCTGTGTGCCACCAACCCTTTGCTCTCTGTGACTTGTTCTGTAAGGTGGTTGACAGCTGCTTGTTCGTCTTTGCAGAATGGGAACATCTGCTGCTCTGTGGATTTAGAGTGTCTCAGCAATAACTGACATAGTCAGATGGGACTTTGCCAAGAGGGGGACCGAGGAAGATGACCACCCGAAATGAAGTTGTGTGCGTTGGTGTTTTGTACAACAGACAGTTACCAAAGTCTCCACATGAGGAAGATGTTTGGGAGTTGCCTTTGGGACCCACCACTATGCTCATCCTCACCACCCTTGTCTGGGTGGATTACAGTACAGCGCATACAAGTCAGTGGTTGTTACAGAGTTTTCAGTGTTGTAAATGACACACTTCTTCTGTCAAGAAATTTGCAAATATGTTTAAATTATTTCATGGTTAAACTACTGCTGTATTTTTGGTTTAATTTGTATATTGACAACATGCTAGAATTCAACTCTTCTTACTTTGCATCTAGATTTTACGAATAAGACAGCCTGTTGTGATTTTGTCCCATGATATCATATACTTAGTTACAAGGTCCCTGTTAGATGTATTTATGAAAATATGTATGTATGTACAGTCAGATTGCATAGTCCTTATATTTCACAGCTGTCCAACCTTTTAAAGCAGTCAAAGGTATATTTGATTGGACAGAATGGAAGTAATCAAAATAAGTCTGTCTTAAAAAATTATAAAATTCAATGCCATGAACTTCATGGCAAAAAAGGCACTTTCTTCTCCCAAATGTGCAGAGCAGCAGCAAGACTCCTACAAGAAATGGAACTAAAACCAGATTCCACTGCCAATTCAACACATGTTCAGGAAAGAATCACCAGTCATTGTCAGTGTTCTCTTTTGCAAGAGAAACTGCAAGTGCTAGAAGAGGGTGAGGAGTTGCAGATTATGCAGTGATAAAACAGGCAGAGACCCTTAAGGTCATCTAATTCAAATTGAGTAGGTTAAAATTTGCTTTGAGTCGTAACATCATTGATGAGTTCATTGTTTTTCCTCTCTTGTGTTCACTGTAATAATGATGTCTGCCATTCTCAGGTACTGCTGCCCTAATGAAAAAGTGCAGAAACACCTGCACCAGCAGCATGCAGGACAGGAGACCTTAACACTCGATAACTTTTATTACCCTATTCACAGCTCAGAAACAGGTTTTCTCTGGTTACATGTTGACATTCAGAAATACTTAGTTTTAAATTTACCTGCAGTGCTGGGGAGTACCGAAGTTTAGACAGCAATACAAATTAAAACTCTTAGCCCTGTATTGAGATTAGTTTAGATTCTCTTCAGCTAATGCCTATTTTTGCCATGAGGCTAGAAAGTTTGTGGCGTTAGAACAAGAATATATTTCTCCGATGATGGCATCTGCAGCTTAAATGTCACCTTTTTAATGTGCTCTTGTGTTTTGTTCTGCTCTTTCATGTAGTGTTTTTTGCTTTTTATTTATTTAATTAAACACACTGAGTATATGGAAAAGTACAGAAATGAGTATAGTGGCTACAGTTTGGGAAGTACATTTGTGAGTTTTCCATGTGGAAAATGTGAAACTGATTAACAAGAATGAAGTGTGACTATACAGTGACATTAGTCATCTTTTGAATGAAGTATTATTATGTTTCTTATCAGGGGACAGTGACAAAAGAATATAAACACTCCTTTCAATCATTTGGACAACTTCATTCCCATTCTTTAAACAGGATTTGTTTTATCCAACAGGTTTGTGTGGTGAAGGTAAATTTATTTTCTTAAAATGCCCCATCAATTTCAGTTACTCATGTATTGACTATATTTGCATTGCCCTAATGATTGTATAATAAGGGAAAGAGTTGTGTTTTATATGATACTCAAAGGATGTTTGTAAATCATAATGTCAGCTCATTTTGTATATCACATTGTAAAACCCAATGGTAATTCAGTTGGATGAGAGATTCAGTGGGCTGAGATATAAAGGGGAATGATATAAAACTTGTGGGCATCTAAATAAACTCCTGTGTACAGATTGCTTTCCCTCAGTGTTATTAGCTGAGTTTTCAGACACTAATCCCTGTCCTTTCCAGGCTTGAACTCCGGGTGTTGCTAAAAGGAGAAAGAGTGTTCGCCAGAGATGTAGCACCAGAGTTGCAAGAAATGCTTCATTTATACTTACTCAGACAAAATGATATATTCCAGTGTGTCACACCAATTCCTGAAGCTCTGTAAATGGGATGAAAGACAGTTCAGGGGCTGAAAATTGTTCTTATCCCATGTACTTTGTAGCAGCAAAGCCCTTTCCCAGGACACTTTCTGGAAGCTCCAGCTGTTGTTAGGATCATGCTCAGCAGGAGCACAGAAGTTCACATTTTTCCACCACACAGACCAATTTTCTTTCCGAACTCAAATGCAGATTAATTCACTAAACCCCTTTCAGAACATTTTATAGAGCATTATGTGTCATTATCTCTGGAGTGATACAGCTTGAATTGTTTACACAAAGTGCAAATATTGACACAGACCTGTTTGTTTCTGTTGCATTTTAAGCAGTTTCCCTGACTGTGAACAACTTTTCCTTAGGAAGCAGTTTGATCACTAATCACATCACATTTACCTCCAGAGTACTCAGGAGCCACAGCCCAGCTTAAAGAGCGCATTGAGGAAAAATGTGTTCCTCTGTGATCAAGGTAAGAACTTTGAAGACCTCTTTCTTGAAGAAATTCCCTATTCCATATAAACCTATGGGCACTGCAGGTAAAATGCTGGGGAAAAAAGATAATAATCCAGTTTATTATAATAATTTCTGAAAGATTTCCAGTTTGTGACACAGACCTTCTCTCTGCTCAGAAGAGAACAACAATAATAGTAATGTGAGGGGGAACTACCAGTATCACTGTGTGAAAGGAAGCTTGCTCTTAGTTAAGGGACTTGGTCAAAACTTTCACTGTAAGCAGTTGGAATTTTGTACCTGTTTCTACTTCTTTAACCTATAAAGGAATATTTTCCCTGCATCTAACACTTCTGATGACAAAAAAAATGTATAAGTGAGAAACAGAAAATGAGAATTCCACCTCTAGGAAAATGTCTTTGCCTCTTCCTTTTGGCGAAAAGCTCAGCCTAGGCAGTAAACCAGAGCATTGTACTGGGTCTTGTGGGGGAAGCCGCTTCTCAGTTCTTCCCCCTGTGTGGTTGCAAATCCACCTCCTGAGACAAATAAGTGCAACTGTTCCTTTATAGGGACTCCTGGACCACACTGAGCCACACTAGTCTCTATTCAGGGCCAAAGAAAATCCAAACTATTCCTCACAAATGCTGAATAATATCTACTTAATTCACAGGAACATGTGGGAGATTTATGTCTCTGTGTTGTCTCAGAGACCTAAGTAACAACTGTCTGCCAGTAATCCCAAGAGCTGTCATGAGTTTCCAAGTGTAACTGTGCACAACAGTTAATTAATAACATCTTTTCAATCAGATCCCCATGACAAACAAAATATCATCTGTGGGTTTGTTTGGGGTGTTTTCCTGTGGCAGACAATAATGTTTTACAAAGCAAAAGGTGAAGTGTCAGGAGTGATTACACTATGGTGGAGTAGATTGTAATAGAATTAAAAGGTAACTCCTACGAGCAGTATGGGAATGTCTCACACCTCGTAGTACTTACATAGTCATCATTAATGAAGTGATTTTCAAAGGGCCCCATGATACAGTTTGTTGTCAAATTTGAAGTGAGTGCTGTGAGAAGACAGAATTGTTTGAGGAGCATATTTTGCCATCAGAAATACCTACCTGCCAACAAGCTGCTGTTTTTCTCAAGGTAGATCTTTGGCGCTCACCTAAATTTAAACTGGTGTCAGGAGCATTTATGGGGTATAAATTCATATTCATGCTTCATAGTCAGTTCTGGTAGAAAATCATCAATAATTGTGTTTCAGATGGTCATCGACCTCAGAGTTGTTAGTAAAGTGCTGGTATTGCTTGTAATCTGCACATAACTAGTTGCAGGTGTTAACGGGGGTATTTCTTGTTACTTGATGCCAGCCAACAGCCCTGCTTATGCACGGTCAGGTATACCTGAGGAGGGTGTATAGTCAAATGCTGATAAAAAGAGTCAAATTCAGGGGGTTTAATGCAGCCATCACCGGGAAATTCACAGTATGTGCACATGAAGTCAAAAATCATGGTGGCCGGTCAAAAACAAAAGAAAGGTCCTCAGCTCATGCCTGTGTCCTTTAAATTCTTTGCTTTCTTTCCTGCCGCTTCAGCTGAGCAGGGTGAGGGATGCACTAACTTCTGACAAGTGGGTTCTGGTTGGGGCCACATAATTTCTTCAGCAGTGCCTCACACTGGAATTGTTTTTATTTCCTAAATTTGTACCTGAGATTGTTTTATTTAAGTGTTTGTTTGGGATTGAGCGTGTTTGGAAGCAAGCCTCATCAAGTTCTCTTTGAGACTGAAGTAGCTACAACAGGATCAGGAGCAATTCCATCTTTGTTTTTGTCTGTGCGTCTGCTGTGGTGCGGGGAAGCCACCTTGGGAAAGGCCTGAAGTTTCCGAGACAGCTTGATTGTGTTTGGATGGACTCGGGCTACAGCCAGTGGTTTTACAAGTTGTAATACAGCAATAGATACACAAGCTCTCTGAGTTTTGGTTTTGCAATGGCTTTTGGTTGCCATTCTCTGTTTTGTGGTTGCTTTCAAAAGACTAGTCATGTCATCTGTACACCAGAAAATATTTACCTATCCCAAAGCTCTTTGTTGTTAAATGCCTTGTGGTTATATACGTCTCTATACATGTAGATCCGCCAGGCATTTCAGTGAAGAGAGGCTTAGGGGTTCTGCAGCAGTTCACACCATCGTTCAAACGCAAAGCAGAAACCAGGAGCTTATCCTGAAATTAAACCAGGGTTGAAAAATCCTGTTTTGTGATAACGCAGTTGATTGATTGCTGTTTGATTAATTCTAAATTGACTTTTCCTGTCACAAGAATTACAAATGTATTTGATTTTGTGTCGTGCTGCTTTATCGTAGTTTTGACAGATCCCATTTTGCACACTTCAGTATTAAATATGCAGATTTGTTTTCCTACCTGAACACTAAGCACAGTTCCCATGCGGGTGCTAGAATGTATGGGCTTTGCCACTGTTGTGCCTTTACACTCTAACTAGGCATTTCTTGGCTCAATGTCTCTGGAGTTAGGCTCAGAGAATCACTGAGGTGTGTGCAGGTAAACACTGACTCCAAGGGTAAACTCTTACATGTTAAAATAAGGGTTAAGGAAAACTGAATATGTATTTTAAAAGTACATGTGTAGCTGTAGAGGTGATTTTTCAGCCTGACCACAGGTTTGTCCATTTACTCACATTTGTATTAAATCACTAGCTGATGAGTTCACTCCTTGCTCAAACACATTTATTCTGTGATTTGCAGGGTAGAGGACAGCTTTGAGAATGAGCTATAACTGCTGCATGAAGTCATCCTGTTGAGCAGATTTTTGTACAAACCTGGTATTTGTTAGAAACTCCCATGGGATTGCCCTCAGGACTTTCCCAAAATCAGAAGCAAGTATCTCTTGTGTGGTCCTAGGCAATGCACTTTGGCCATATTTCACACTTTTCCTTCTGGCACAGCACAACAAGGCTTTGGAGAGCTGAGATAAGATACTGTTCAACTGCTGCTTTGGCTTCTTTCTCCTGCACAAGAGCCACAGCAGTGGTGGGAGGAGGTAGGTACTGTGGGTGATGTGCTGAGGGTGGCCATGATGGGATGTGCCCCGGTGGTGGCTGTGGTGGAGGGTTGCAGGAGTCAGCTCCTGCTTTTAAGTGACCTCTCACTGAAGTATTTACTCTGTTAGGGAACATGGAAGCTGTATCTCTGCCACTGGACAGAATGACTCCAGACTGTCCCTGAGCATGGGCCATGCCATATCCTTTCTGCCTGGAGTTCTCAGAGCTGCCTCAGCAGTGTCTGGAAATGAATTTGGTAAACCAGAAACACAGTTATGTCTGCAGGCAAGTTGACAGACCCATAAGAGGGGAAGAACAGTGAGACTATAATCAGTAGCAGTCTTGCATCAATCCTTAGCAAAGCTTAAGGCATCACCAGGAAGTATTGAGGGACGTGCAGGATGGTGTGAATCCCAAATGCTGGCTGCAGTTCTATATGCCTGCAAAGTTCAGAGGAATTAAGCTGAAGGTTTTCATTGTCTAAGTGTTGCTCAGTGTGAAAGTTCAAAGCTACTTCTCTTCCTGAATTAAAGCATTTTTGTAAGCTATAAGGGATTACAATGTGCACATCTACATTCTCTACAATTGGGGAAAAAAGACCTTATCCCTGGTGACCTTTTCACCTCTGGGTAGCCACCTCATCCTGTATCACTTGTGAATGTTTGAGATATTATTTACAGAGCAAGCTTTTCTAGTGTGAGTAAAACTATTTCAAGTGAAAGTAAATGTATGCCATCTATTTCAGGTGAGCTGATCTACTACAAGGGTGGCAATGAGAAATGTCAGTCCCACATGTTCAAAAATTACACCCCAGCTGTGCTAAAATTAAGAGTTAAGCTTTAGGAAAACGTGTGGTTCTGAAAATGGACATTTTTCAGTGATCCTGTTTTTTCAGTGCTAAACTTGTGTTTTTGCTGCCGGTACAACTACACTTGCCCTGTGCCACAGAAGCCACTAGAAAGGCACATGCCCATGTAGCTAAAATCTCTGTAGAGAGGGTTTAGGCAGAAGAAGCAGCTGATCTATGATGTGTGCTTTTCCTATGTGTCTGTAGTGTAGGCTTCAGGCTGAGCTGGGACCATGAGCCCAGCTGCCCTCCAAGGAAGGCAGCACTGGGGCAACTTCAGGAGGGGCCACAGTGCAGTTGCTGGTCTAAAAGGTGGATATGCCTGGTCCAGGCCAAGCTCTGTGTGCCAAGACTGAATGAGACTTCATTGAGAATAATGAGCTGGAGATATCTAATTCCCTTTATGGGAATGAGAGCTTTTGGGAGGCAGCTGATGCTGGAGACAGGTCTGTGTTTG